CTCAAACCAAAGAACCAGAGAAACAAGAGCAAGTTTCCATCCCATTTATTCCTGGTTTCTATTTTGTACATGAAGCTACAATAAAACCAACAGATCTAAAAATAACAAATGAAAAGAAACTCAACAGAAAGAGAGAGAGAGAGAGAGAGAGGCAGAGAGACCATATCCAAACAATGAATGGCCTTCATACTTTTACAAAGGCTTCAGATAAAAGCAAAAGCCGTCTGATGGCGATTGAAGGGAAACAGATTCAGGTTAATCATTGACGAGACAATAAAAAAGCCATTGCACTCTACTTCCCCTGAGGTTCCCAGACACACACACACACACACACACAGACGGTAAACATTTTAAAAAGGCACTTTACAAGGGATTGCATGATGTATCAGTGCATATTAAACTTAAACTCCACTTCTTCAAAGGACATTTCTCAACGACACACCTGAACAGTGGGATATTCTATCAGTATAGAAGGCCTTAGGTATCTGCTCAATACTATAGACTTTTATATGTAAAATCCCGAATGTACAGTCAACCTGCGTCAGCCTGTTTACTGTACAGGCTTGATGAAGGAAACCGGTTAAGACCTGGCCAAGAAATATAACAATATATATTTTTTTCATAAAACATTTACATCCAGAAAGATCAGTTTGGACATAAAATGACCTTTGGTTTGTTTGTGCGTCTGTACGGACGAGTACATACGGAACATAAAGAGAGAAACCACCAAAAAACAAATCAATTTTAATCTGTGGGTATTTAACTGTTGGATTGTTCAATTTAGGAAATGAAATCTTTGAATGTGTATGTAATTTACAGAGTTATCAACAGGATTAGATTTACGCATGAACATCTGTGGTCACTTATATTATTGATAGAGATGTTTCCAATACCAGCATCAAAACATGCAAATCTATGTACCCATCTGATACCAGGTCTCTGAAGTACAAGATTAAAGATTAAATATCATGTCATGTGTGATACCTATACTAAAGTATTATCTAACAAGACGCTCAACATTCCTCATTTTAATACAGGCAACAGAATGATCTTCTGCTATCCCCCTGTAAAATGAAACGAGGCCTAAAATTAGAACTTTTTTCATGTAAAATTACGACTTTATTCTCTAAATCTTATCGAATCCAATATTGCATTGTATCATGGTAAGTATTATACCCAGACAGCAATTTCCTATTCCCGGATATCCCTTCTTCACCGCTCCAGAACAGCTGCAATGTACTGTTACTGCTGAACAGTTTTTGGGCTGTGAAGGAGTGATTTCCAGTGGTGCAGCGTTGGCCACAGCGAATTAATAGGTCAACAATTTGGAAATTTTTCACGCTGGAAGTGCATTTTACCAGATATTTAAAGCAAGTAATCGTAAGTAATTCCTATATTTAGTCATCTTACTTCTTTTTCAGTTCTGGCTGTCAAACAAGATAACATGAGAATTTCTATGTTGTTCAGTCTCTGTATGTATTTGGTTTTCAAAGCCAATACAACAATGATAGCAATCATAACTCCCACAAAGGGTTAGTAACATACAGCTGTTACAGTCCATCATATTTCGAGGTATCAGAATCGGTATCAGGAAAAGGAAAAATGTTATTGAAACAGCTGTAATTATTGAGTATGAATGAAAAGCAAACTAAACAAACTGTCTATGATTAAAACTAAAAATGAGCTTATGAATATTAATTCAATAGAAGTTTTCGTTTTTGAAAAAAACTCTTTAAAAAATTGTATTAAATCTTTCAGGTAGATTTTAGGTGGGTTCTCCCTTTAAAAAACAAAAGGTTTAAGAAATGATACGCAGTCGTTTTTAATCAAATTTTCCAAACAGTTGCATATACTATGACTAAGGATTGCACATACATACTATTATAGGTCTATACAGTATAGAACATTTAATATTCTAGTAAAAAATATAGCCCTAGGTCTATCAATAGATATCTTCATATACATTCGGGGTAAAGCGTAGGCTGGGCTGGATCTTATATGAAAGCAACGTTTAATGAAATACAGTCAAACATAGAGACTTGCTGTCACTGCTCGATGCTCCAACAGACAAACCGTTTGTTTCTACTCAGCAAACATTCTCCTCTCTATGGGTCAAAGTCAGCTTGACTTAAAGTGGACGAAAAACAAGCACAAAGAGAAACTGTCATTACTGTCCACAGCTCAAGTCGGTTGAATGTGCAGGATGTATTTTAGTGGAGTATTTTTTGGAAAATATGATTGTACACCAGGACATGGATTCAGTCATAAAACAGTCTAAGCTGCTACTGTCCATTTTATGTCAGTTAAGCACAAATGTTTAAAAAAATGGCGTTTTGTCTGAGACGGATCATTTCTGACTTGTTCCGACTGTTTTACTGCCAAAAGTCGGAGATCTGATCACCAGACTTTCAGTTTGTTCATCAACAAGGAAAATAAAACTAACGTGGCTACTGCATTTTTAACTGGTGACGATTTTGTGCTTTCTCATGCATACACAATATTGAGTGAACCATTAACAATTAACACTGGACAATGGCAACTTTCTGTGAGTCTGGGAAAGGTTATATGAAACAGGAAATATCACCAATAAGCTATAGTAAGCAGTTATGCTAGCTACTGTGAGCAATTAAAACCAACACTAGCTAAGAGCTGCTTTGACACATGCAATAACCCTGAACTTTTCTAGACATTACCCATGTATGCATGACAGCAAATGTCACAGAACAAAAAAATCTAATGTCTGAACCAGGCCACTCCTCACTTAAACCCAACAAATAATTTCCACATGTGAAAGTGTCTCACACAAACAATTTCAGTTGTGTGCTGTAGTTGTGAAAATCTGACAATGATTTAGCACTGTTGTAGTCCCGGTGATGTTAGCTTTTAAAGTGCATCTTGAAGATTTTCTTTTTTTCTAGAAAAGTGAAACAATCTTGCTGGAAGCTGTTGAAGTCAGTCACCTGTTTCACCTGGCACAGCTTCTGTTCACTCTACAAAAGTAGCCACTGTTCAGTTGTTGATTGGTACAGAACATGGGATCCCAACCGTACACTATGATGGGTGGCCATTTTAATGTATATACTCAGTGGCACATTTACTGTCTTGATAAAGATCTCAGCTGTTTTCTGAAATAAGGATTTGACATGAGATTCAATTCCAGAGTTGGTGAGGGTGAGCTCAGCATGTAAAGGATGCACTGGGACAATTTATGTGATACATTAAATTTGATTTCACGTTCTCATTGTATCAGAATGGCTGAATTTACATTTAAAGTTGGCAAAGTCGACCTTTGTTTAGAAAATACAAAGATAAAAAGCAGTAATGACAATTTGTGAAGGCAGTCTTTGCAACTTCAGTCTGATAAAGTGGGTGGTGTGAGTAGGTGGAATTAAGACCTGTGTAGTGGAGTTTTTCTGAGCTGTGAGTCGTTGTGTTGCCACTGGATCTCTCAGCAGTCCAGACTTCTCCTTTTGGTGTGTGATACGACTCTGAAGTGAAAAAAAGAAACCAATAAATGGTATTTAATTACACAAAGTACCATCCCATCTATATCAAAGAAACAGAAATGACACCCATTCAATACTCCGATGGCCCCTTATTGTTTTTCAAACAACATCTTTGCAGCCTGAGTGATTTCTAGCTAACCACCCTTCTCTTAATTTCACCCATGTACAAAACATTTGTTGATTTAATTCGTTATTCCAAAATCCTGCACAACCTGGATTATCAAACTTTGGTGAACTTGCCTTGCTGCTGTCAGAGATTTAACTCTACAAACTACGTGAAAACTAAAAAAGTAAACTATGGAGCACTCTCGTAAAATGCCGCCAGGCTTCAGATGAATGGTCAGATGTCTGTGGACCTGCCTGTTGCTGTGTTGGGTCTTGGTTTCCATGGAAATCACCATCACGTCTCTCTCTCTTTCTTGACAGCGATGTCTCCATTCCCAGATCCACCTCCGCTGGGGCCTCCACTCCCTCCCCCAGACGTCGCGGGAGCTGCAGGTCCGGGCCCTGACCCGGCTCCAGGTGCAGGAGCTGCTGCAGGTCCTGCTCCACCAGTGCCAAGTATGGTGGAAACCTCTCCCTGCATGAAGGCCCAAGGGGGACTGTTGGGAGAGTTATCCAATGGACAGCGCTCTCCACTTGGGCAGTACACCTCTCCATCTCCCCGCCGGCTCTGAATGTACACCCTGGTGCACGGGAAGCAGAACCTACATGTGGCGGAGGAAGAAAAAACAAGGTATTACAACATTCAGAAAGACACAACTGTCACTTACACCAACAAATTGTTATTTCTTTTTTTTCTTTTTATTGTGGCTTCTATTGCATTTCTTTTTAACTTCAAAACTCCTCCTCAACATCACAAAAAAAATGTAAATCACACAAACCTGTGGCCTGGCACTGATGGACACTGAACAAAGTGTGTGTCTTCCAGCCTCTCATGACACAAGGTGCAGGACAGGGTGTTTCCTGTTGAAAGGGTGTTGCTGGTGGATGCTGATCCCAATTCAGAGGCACCACTGTGGGGTAACGCAGCAGCTGTGGTGGCCGCCTCTGCTGAGGAGCTGGACCCCAGGAGCTCCCCTCCAGACCTGGAGGTGAGGGGGCGCGGCTGCCTGGCTGGAGACGAGGCAGGCTTGGGGCTTGTCTGGCTCACACCTCCTGCCATGGAGGAGGACGAGGAGGGGAGGCCTGTGCTTTTGCTGCTGCCAGCCACAGTGTGGATCTGGGTCTGTATCTTGGGCTGATTCTGGGACGAGCTGAGTTCCCGCTCCAGCTCCGGAGTGATAAAGGGGGCGATCCCCATCCCTATGCTCAGCTGCCTGCGGCTCATCTCGGCCAGCACCGGGGCAGGGAAGATCATGGGGCTGCTCATGGGGGCTGTCCTGGCGGTGAGACCCGTCGGCATGCCCGCAAGCAGCCCGTGGGGAATCCCTGCGATACTCGTTACTAGACTTGGAGGGATGGCAGCGGCCAGCATGGGTCTCCGGCTGCCGCTGGGGCTCTGGCGGTTCAACTCAGGAGGCGGCTGCCCGTCACGGTGCAGCCCGTTGGGCGGCACGCGAACAGCCGCCCCGGTGCTCTCTCCTCTTCCACCCCGGTCGAAGCGGTCCGTGTGGGGCCTAACTCCGTCTCCCGCCGCCTCTCCTCTCCCGGTAGACCCGTGCTTATTGGGAGAGGGACCCGGTGACCTGACGTTCCCGTCCTGCATCCCGTGGCTGCGCTTCAGCTGCCGAGCGCTCGCGATGAGGAACTCGATCTGGTTCGCCCCCTCGTAGTTGACGCAGCCGCGGCACACCACCTCGCTGAAGTCCCACACCACGGTCCAGGGCATCTTGGGCAGGTCGCACAGGTAACACCACTGGCGCCTGGAGGAGGAGGGGGACGACATGGCTGCTCCAGGTAGCTAACCTGCTAAGCTAGCACACGTTAGCTCCGTGACCCTCTTTAGCTTCACAGGTGCGCGCCCTCGCGTTGCTGCGTTAACGGAAGTGGAGACGCGTCAGAACAACATTAAACATGACGCGGATGAGAAACCAGCGCAAAGCTCCGCGTGGTTTTCGCTCTTTTTGTCCGTTTTGTTTTGTTTATGTTCGGCCTGACCCGCTGCTGTCAACCGCTGCTCCCACCGACGCTGCGATGTTACGTAATCATGCGAGGTGCATCATGGGCGTTGTAGTTTCCCTTACTCCATTTTCAAGCCGCAAACAAACAATCGGAACACGGCCGTGGAACTACAACCGAAACCAGCACGGGAAGTGACGCAGTTAAAGGGTCAGAGTTCATCCTGTGTCAACACATGTGCGTCTCCCGCAGCAGCCACGAGACCGGCGCCAGGAAACTGTTTCACTTCAGCGGTTTAAGGTTCATTTACCTTGAATAAAGTCAATAAAATGCCCAAAGACATTTCATCTTCATCCAGTGAGGAGGAAGAAGAGAACCAAGCTGCAGAAACACAACACAAACAACACGGTGAGTTCACACATCGAGCTCGGTTCTTAGTGAGGCTAGTTCTTGCTCAGCTACTTTAGTTTCACGTCGTAGTTCAATAACAATACACATTAAGACTTACAGTGACTGAGCATCACGGGTTCACTTTAACTTTTACTCTCGGTATATATTTCGTTTACATTGTCCATATTTTTTATTTTTCTTGTATTTTTACTCATGTCTTTATTTACCTTTTACTAAGGGTGTATCCACAATAGTATATATTTATATTTTATACCACAAAAAATACCGTTGCAAAGATTCAGCAATAGAAAATACACCACACATGTAAACTACCTAATGAAAGTCAAAGGACATATTAAGATTAGATAAGATCAAACTTAATTGATCCACACACTGGGAAAATTCAGTTGTTACAGCATGCAGGTCAGACTGAGGTAGACAAGAGAATACAAAATAGAAAAAAGCACATGTAATAAATGTAAATGATTAAATAACAAATTGCTGTGTATGTATGTAATGAAATGATAAATTACATTTGAATGACTGTATATTTCTATTAAGTTTAAGAGACTGAGTAGAGGAGGATAATAAACATATATTCAGCTAGATCTATTATGTGTTAATGCTCCTCACCTAAGTACTTTAACGGTATGTGAATGATATAAGAACTTACGGCTTGGTGATAAAACAACATTAATAATCATTGCAATTGTATTGCAAGGTTCACAGTATAATGTTTATGTCTTGTGCAAACAAAATGAGGAGGTTTAACACATACATGTTCACCCTCAGATTTGCGAAATGTTTTGCTGTTTATAAAGTATTCATCATTATCTGCTCATGAAGAAGAGTTTAAAACTCCAACCTTTACTCAGGTTACTTCAATTGACTGATATTAACATTATTATCGGGATATAATTTTGGCCATGCTGTGCAGTCTTAACTGGTCTTTAGCTATTTTGCTCCAGATGGAAATTATATTTCATGAATTAGTGACATTTATTTGTTATATTGGTAGAAGAGAGACTTATATCTCACTAATAACGAGTCTCTTTTGTTGTCCTGCGTGTTTTCTACTGTTATGGATGAAATTATGAAGTTGTGCTCTTTGGTTCCACAGAGAAGAAGAAAACCAGGTACCAGTGTCCCGCTGACTTTGTGTCTTTCTGCCATGCACCCTGCAGCAGCACACTAACAGAGAGTCTGAGGAACAACAATAACGAGTTATGGCTCATTAAAGCTCCAGCCAACTTTAATCCAGAATGGTGAGTACAGTCTTCGCCCTGTCATCTGTGACCATGTCTCTGTTTCTCTTGCACAGTCAAACCGTGGAAGTATATTTCATTAGCTGGATTCATGAATCAGGGAATTCATTTTATAGTAGGTGAAAGAAGACTTCCCTAAATTCAACAGTAGCTCGACCCAATCATGTACTTTTGTCGTGAACTTTTCCAACATTGTTTGAATAGTCCCTGACCCCTCGTCTCCTTCCTTCGTCCAGTTTCAGTGGCATCAAGGTTCCTCTCTCAGGTCTGGATACCGTGGAGGTTCCCACTGCAGCAGGCGGAGCCACGACTGCAAGCAGCCAGCAGATCTACAGCATCCTGGCGTCCTCCCACGGCACCTCAGAGCTCCACTTGCTCACCAGCGACAAGCAGTCATCAGATGGCGTCGTTTTTGGTCCTGCTTTTTCAGGCTTGCTAAATGTGTGTGAGAGCTACGGGAACACCAGCGCTAACTGGGCTCCTCAGGTCATCCCCACAGCTCCTGCACCCTCCATACCACTGGGGCTGAAACAGCGATTCCAACCCTTTGGCAGCAAAACTCCCATGCTGACCTGCGTGGCAGAGAACGAAGTGGACGGAGCTGCCTTTGGGCCCTCATCTACAACTCTCCAACCCCTGGTAGTCAAACGATTCATAGAGGAAGCAGGAATTGAGGAAGAGGGAGAGGGGAAGAGGAAGAAGAAGAAGAAAAAGAAAGAAAAGCAGATAAAGATGGAGCGAGAGGGGTCAGAGGAGTTGGTGAAAGTGGAAGCTGAAATTCAGGATGAAGTGATGACGGAGCTCCCAGAGGAGAAGAGGAAGAAGAAGAAGAAGAAGAAGGACAGGGACCGAGAGGCGGTGGAAGAGGGGCTGGAGCCCAGTCTGGCGGTAAAAGTTGAAGAGGTAACGGTGAAATGTGAACCAATGGACCCTTTGTATGGCGATGAAGTGGAAGGATTGGTAAAGAAGAAGAAAAAGAAGAAGAAAAGCAAGACTGATGATGACTAGTCTGTTGTCTTTTTGTTTAGTTTTGACTTACTAAAATCGCCTTGGAGTCCATTTCGTTATGAAGTTCTTTTCAGACATGAATTCCGGAGGATTGGCTCCAGACTTCCGCTGGCATTTTCTTCCAGACATTAACAGCTCAGACATGTTCACAACAGCACAGACATCTCCTGGTGAGAGGTGGTGCAGCAGACGGAGGCTGGAGGTTGCTGTGGAGATCACATTTTCGTTTAAAGCACATCAACACCAGCGTCGACTCTCATCACCAAAAACTATGATATCTTCACCAGTGTCTTCTAAATGTGTTGCTCCACGTTTTCATCCTGAGATATTTTATGCTTCTTTTTTCAGTTTTGCATTGTTGGATATTAGGAATTCCGTCAAAACACCCACTCGCTTGCAGTTAATCCTCCGGAGCTTCTCCTGCTATGTTCTCACATGAGCTCTCTCAAACACTGTCCAGAGTTTTCATTAGGGGCCTGGCAGGAGAAACTGTGGAGAATGTCAGGAGCCTCTCACAGACATTTTCGTTGTCACATACAGCCCCTCTGGAGAATGTCTGGAGTTCAGTGCAGGTCTGAAAGAAGCTTAATTCAGTCCATGTTATTGATAGTTGAGAGATTACATAATGCAAAACTTGTTTTTGCAGGACATTGTAGTTTGGAAAAAAGGAGAAAAAACATCTTGAATCAGTTAAATTCTGACACAAATTATAAAGTGGATGCATTCCAGCATCTTCAAATCCAATGTTCATATAATCCTGAGCTCAGTATTACACACGAAGCATGTGTGCAGCTGCAGGCGACTAAGAGTGAAGGGTAATGAGAGCATACAGGAGGAATTTCTGTGTTTTCCACCATTGTCTGTCAAGTCGTGGTCGATTGTCCTGGACTGTGTTTCTGTGTTTGTGTACATATTTACGTTACTGGGTGAAGTAACGTCACCGGTTTGGCTGCAGATTCAGAAAAACCAGAGCGGATACGATGACAGAATAATGGTTCTGTGTCACGTAAGGCTGTTAGTAGCTGGAGCTGAGTCACATGTACTGGAGGAATTACATGTGTGCAGGAAAATACATGTTGGAGAACAAACTCAAAAGTGATTAAATGAATTGAGAGAAAAAACGGTGGTGGTGGGGTTTTTTTGTCATGCACTAGGCTGGTGCAAGTTCTGGACTGCAGCACAACATGTTCCCCTCATGCCTTGTTAACACAGTGACTCCATCCAGAAGGAATGAATCTACTTGTGTTGCAACTCAGTGGCCTTTATATTGTGCAACAGCAGGAAACAGCAGTAACATATTTACAGGTCTGTAGTTTTCTAATAAGTTTTCGGAAGAAGGTGTGTCATCAGAAGAATAGAACGTTTTTATTAGGTGAACTAGAAAGTTTGCAAAATTATTTCACAATACACTTCATACAAGTCTTTTTACTACTGCATGAACATCTTGATGGATGAAGGTTTCTCAGTGAGCAGCGACAGAAAAAGTATGAAAATAGAGTGTTTAGCTCTCGTTAAAGGAGGCAGAATTTAACGTTACCTGCTCTGAGTGGATTGTGCAGCAACTCCCCTCTGGTTAGTGATTTCTTTTAAAAATATAAACAGTGTGAACATGTAAAATAAATCAATTTTTAAAAGTACAGATATTTGCTGATACATGTTGTGAGGTAAAAGTAAAAAAAGTACCAGAAAATAAATCTACTTAAGCAAAGTAAAGATTCGTGGAAAAGTCCTTAAGTACAGTAACAAAGAAAATGCACTTATATACATCCCACCAATGTTTTTTTTTGATTTCTTTAACAAGAGTCAAACTAAGCAGGAACCCTTCACTGAAAGTCATATTTAAAGAAAACTGCAGGTTTGCACAAAATATTGGAATGAGAATAGTCGATAGAAAAAGAGCAACACATGGGAAGTAGAGTATTTAATCCATAGCATGGATGTGGCACAAATATAACTTGTAACATATGAGGTTTGAAGGATTTCTCAGAACATAATTCACCAAGAATGCACAAAATTATCATTGCAGTTTTAATTTACCAGTAGCCTTAACCTCTCAAATACACAATATGCCTACTCACATATTCTGCCATTATTGGCTACACCACTATCATTACATTGCTGCTCCCTTCATCTGTCAGTCATTTATTTTTGTATAAATTATTCAAACACTGATGCACCTCTACATTACTGTTACACAATCTTTACTCATGAATGTTGTAAATATCGTTATGTTGATGCGCTCTGTCTATTGCATTTCTGGGATTCCTCTCACGACACTTGTAGTTTTTCCACACTTGATGAAGGTTATTGTGATTTGTAAATGTGGGCTATACAAATATAATTTGATTGACTAATAAAAAGGCATGTCAGCAATTACATATGCGAATCTAAACATGCCCAAAGTAAGATCATGCAAAGAAAAACCTCCGTCGGTGTATCCACGTCTATAATGCCACAGAGGAAATGACAGGTAGATGGCGCCACAGTCCAGTTTGTTTCCTGTGTGAAGCTGCAGCCTCTGAACCACCTCAGTTCATTATTTGCATGCTACCATATCTTTTCACTAATGTGACACAGATCTGCTGCTGCAAACACAAACACACAAAGAAAGGTTTTATTTTTTTTTCCATTTTCGAAACTGCAGCGAATCATCAGATCTCCGTTTCACTCGGGTGAAAAATCTCAGTCCAGGCTCTGCATCCTCCTCCCTTCCCTGCTCCCCTCTCCCTGCTCTGCACTGGAGTATGGTCCTGCTTCTTAATGAGCTCGGGCACCTCTGGCACTATCACACTCTCACCATCTGTAATAACCCCTCTGCACATGCTGTTAGGCTTTATTGATCCATCCTCACTTCTGCGTCCACCTTTTTTTACAAGCCTCACTCCCTGCAAAGGGTGAAACAGACCCAAAATCACCCAAACCATGCAAGAGTCACAAATATCAACTGTAAGAGAATTTCAAAATAGTTTTCTCCTGATAGGCTTAGACTTGCCTCAGCATCGTGACGTGTAGTTTTGTGGGTTTAACAGGCAGCCATTAAACCACAGATGTCAGATGTTGGATGGAGCGTTTCCCTGTGAGTCAGATTTCTGTGTATCCTCACAGGTATGTTGAATGTGTGTGAGCGTCTGTGCTTCAGGGCCACAGTCTGCAGGCTTGAGTGCATGAGAGAATATGCCTGTGTATTTGTGAGTGTGTGTGTGTGTGTGTGTGTGTGTGCAGCTGCCAGAACTTGAAGTAAGAGAAGTTATTTCATGTTAAACCTTTTGGTACAAAATAATTTAAACAAAATTTACACAAATGAGCCTAAATTCAGTTTTAGCCAACAGAATTTAGGCTAAAATTAAATTAAAGTAGAATCAATCACAAAATGACAGGTTGTATGTTTTAAATGCTCTCAGACTTAATGTGGCTTTAAAAGTAAGTGGGGTCTCTCACATCGCATCCTTAAGGAGCCGCATTTATTGACCAATTGTGCTATAGCCGCGCAACCACACTGTCCCATTTCGGCAGCTCCTCCAAATGCGTCCTTCCACCCCTAAGCAAACGGAGGCTCCACCAGGTGGTCTCTACTGGCCTAACATATCCCATGATTCATTGCCCTTAAGTGACGAACTGTTTTTCTAAAAGATAATGGCGGCTGGATTCAGACAAAGCTATACACGGTCTATTGGGCAACATGGCTGCTCTGACCGTGAATTCAAAGTGTCTTGATCACCCCCTGGTGGCTGACTGCAGTAAAGGTCATCGCAGCACTCCACGTAAACAACAGTCGGGAGCTTTATGCAAAAGCTGTTTCTTCAGGTGTCATGTGAAAGTAACATTTATTTGTAGGCTACACAGAAGCCTCTGTAGCTCCAGGCTGCAGCGATAGTGTTGTGTTCATAGATGCACAACTGGGAAGATGATTTGTCCACACAGGAAATAACAAGAGCAATGTCAAAGAAGTATATGTGGATTTTGTCATTTACTAAACACTTGATTGATCACTTCCATTTTGCTCTCCTCATTTTCATAAATAGCAATGTATGGATATTTCATAGTCATAGTTATTCTTCAATGTCAGTATTATACCCATTAACGTCGTCATAAAAAAGGAATCATCAGTGATTATATTTCATCACTTTTGCTGGTAATAAATGAACACCATACAACTGAGAGGTTTTACTTTATTTGTTGGAGACAGTAGGACATGCAGACTGAGGAAGGGACAGGAGGGATTCAGCTCCAGACCTGTTCAGTCCAACTGTTTCATAGCAACCTCCCTCAGCGGAGTGTGTTAGTCCACTTGAATGCAGCACTGTCACAGCTCAGCACCGCAGGTTGGAGGTCGAGAGGTCAGAACACGGCTCCGGCAGCGAGGCACGTTCGTGTTTGAGGAGCACAGAGCGACATTTGAGTGAAGGAGCTGCAGCTGCGAGAACGATGTGGAACAGCCTGGCTTTAATGGAGGAGGAGGGCTGAGTGCTTTCTGTTTCTATTATAAAACTGAAATTCAGTCCACGTGTTTGCTTAAAAACATCAGTAATTATTTATTCAGCAGAAAATTGAGCAGTAAATACCTTTTGGTTTTACTGTCAGTATTTCTTTAATTACTTT